GTCCAAGATGGGCCCCCTTCATCATGAGACGGGCGGAGCAGTAGCAGCAGTAGCTGCAATAGCAGCGGTACCACGAGCGCTAGCAGCAAGACGGGTTGGGTTCGGGGTTGGGTTCGGGGGTTACATCGTTGGAATTCATACGCAGGCACACACATAGGCAACATTCAAACAGCATCAGCTGGGTGAGCACCCCCAGAGCATTCAGGCCACCTCCCCAAGCAGCTCTTTTCGGAACCAATGTTGTCCCGAAACCCCCCCCCGGTGGTGGTGGTGGTGTGGGGTTGGGTGGTGTAGCGGTGGGTGTAGTGGTGTGTGTGGTGGTGTGGGGTTGGGTGGGGGGGTGTCAGGGCTAGCAGGTGAAACCGGGGGAGGACCCAAAACACACGGCTCCAGGGGGGAAAGACGAACCAGGAACGAGTGAAGCTGCTGCCATGCAAAAGCTGCTGCCAGGGGTGACGGGAGAGCAGGAGGTACTAGGGGGGTGAAGGGCAGTAGCGGGGGTAGGGTAAGAGGGGTAGAGGGGGCCCGGGGGTGGTGCGGGTAGAAGAGGGGGAGGGGGTAATGGGCAAGGTACGGGGATATCGGTACGGGGGTATCGGTACGGGGGTATCGGTACGGGGGTTATAACTTATAAGCTATGTAAAGGCTTTGGGCGGCATCAGTCGTAGCAACCCAGTGCCAGGCCCGAGCCCCAGCTCGTCCAGATGAACGGTGTAATACACGCGACCGTCATCCCCCCACACATACACGCATACACACATACATACATACACACATACACACATACATACATACATACATACATACATACATACATACATACACGCATGAAAATGGGCTCCACCAAGGTGCCTTACCCCCCCTCACCTTGTCCGAGTAGTTGGGGTGGAGCGCGTGTGCCATGTCGGCACTGATCAAAAAGGAGTTACGGAGGGTTCGCTCCACGGCGCCCTAAGGGGGGGGGGGGGGAGGAGGAGGGCAAGACGAACCACTGGCGGATGAAGCGGATATACCAGATATAGATATATACGGAGGAGAAGGGGGGAAGGAGGGAGGAGAGTGTGTGGGGGGGTATTTGGGGGGAAAGGGGTGCGAAAGGCCTGGCAGAGGGGAGGGGTGCGTGACGTGTGTTTCGTAGTATAGTGGCGGTCAGGACTATGCGGCGATGTGTGCGTGCGTGTGTGTGTATTCGCCCCTCCCCCTCCCCGTTTCCCCCCACCACCACCTCCTGTCCCCCGGATAGCGCCGCCGCGACCCGGGTAATGGTGTCCCTCATCACCGGGCCACCGGCACCCTGGAATGGGGGGAAAGGCGGGGAAGGAGGGGAAGGAGGGAAGTGTATTGTATGAAGCGTCGCATGTTGGGGTTTTGGATCCAATGCCCGAGCTTCGATCCAGAACCAAGCTCAACCTCCCAGGTCCAGATACCCCCTCTCCCCCTCCTTCTCCCCCCCCGTCTCCCCCCCCTTTCTCCCCCCCTCTGCCCCC